ATTTGAACGAAGAAGTTTCGTAAAAAGCGCGAACGGTAGTGTGAATGATTTTTTTGACTGAGAAAATAAGCAAACAAACAATCTCAGAGTTTTAGTAGTATATAGATAGATTCTTCAAGATCTTGTTTTTGTCATCTTACGCCTTTTAATGAAGATGGGAACATTGACAGGGAAATAATATAATAGCCAATGATCGACGAGATGTTTTCGTTTATAAAATATTGTTGTTGTTCTCGACTTTATTTTTATTTTATTACTTCGCCGCCATAGTTACTATTTGCAAATAGTCAATAATATTGTAGGTCCATTTTATTATTGTTCTTTCTACGCGCCGTTATAACACATTTTCATCTCATCATTTAATTTCTGTTGTGCATATATTGTTGTATAGAAGATATTTTAAAGTGATTCATCAGGTGAAAAATGAATAGATAGATAGATAAATCGATATGTGACGTCATCTAATGTACCTGAATTCATCAAGAAAATTTCATTAAAGTGACCCGAAAAACGGGGCTAACTCGGTAACCCGTGGCCCGACTTTAACGAAACTTATTTTATTCTGTTTCTATTCTCATTTCATTGCAAATATGGCGGTATTGCGCCGTTTTTGCTGTATTTAATTACAGACAAGCAAACACACAAACAATCTCAAAGTTTTAGTAGTATATAGAAGATAGATAGATGACACAATACTATATATATATATGTATGTATGTATGGGAAGTTAAGTTGCATTAACGATATCTATAATATAAGGTACTTACTAGTTTGTTCTATGGTCGTCATGCACGTGTCGTACGCTTGGTCATCTGGACAGGGCAGCAGATAGTCATCCGTGCACAAACTATTGGCTTCTACTTTACACTGGTAACACTTCAGTCTGCCGGATACAGTAGTCAGTGCTGCATTAGTAGAGTAAGATAACAATTACGTCTTATATTAAGATACCGACTGACCTTTTAACCGTCATTAAATCAATGCATGCTCACTGCCTTAAAAGTTAAAAGTAAAATAATATCGAGAACACAGCAAGAAAAAAAAAAGACAAAGCATCTTCATTTGAGATGTTGATAATCATCGATTTTTGGACCTATGTTATGTAATAGCAGATGGTCTTTGAACAACATTTTAGATTCTACAATCTTCTAATACTCTTCCACTACTTAATGACCTATAAAAAATATTAGCTAGCAGTTCAAAAATAAAATATTTTAAGTTCATTTAAAACTTTAAGATAAAAGTTGTCCAGTCCAGGGGACTTACCAATTTTTAGGTTTCCCAACTTTTCTCTTACAATTTTATATCAATATTTTCCCCACTCATTAAGTGCTCCAGTTGAGGCATAATACTTATATATTTCTTCGTAAAAACTGAAGAGAACATATAATTTAGTAAGTTTATCGACTCGTAATCTTCAGAGATCAGCTTCCTACTATAATTTTTAAGAGGCCCAATCCCCATCCTGACATTTTGCTTACCCATCATATACCTAAAGAATTCCTTATTGTTTGGTTTAACTCTCAGCCAACCCTCTTTCATATACAGTTGCTACCCTTTTAACTTCGTTTATAACCAGCGCTCTTGATTTCATATAGTCCACCAAGCCCTTATTATTTCCAGTGAGTTTACATTTCTTGAATTTATTACGTTTATCCCCTAATATGATCTCTTAAACCTTTACTAAACCATACTGGCTTATTCCTCTCTGTTGCCCTTTTTTTTCTGTATGCATATTACTTTTTCCCTAAATGCTTACCACGTCTGTTTAAAATCCCCTTCCAACTCTTTAGTCCAGTCTACAGAAGCAAAATCATGTCTCATTCCATCAAAATTGGCTTTCCTGGAATTTGGAATCAGAGTAGTATTCTTCCTTAATTCTACATCCTATAAAGCCCCAAACCTAATAGTGCAATGATCGCTTGTACTTAAACGGTCACCAACCACAACTCTGTCTATCATATTCACATCCGATGCTAATATTAAATCTAATATAGCTTCCTCTTTTGTATGTTCCATCACCAATTTGTGTATAAAAGTATCCTGAACAATTTCCAAAAAACATAACCCCCTCACTGTCAGACTCGAAATTTTCCCGATTAATATATCTGAAATTAAAATCTCCCATAATAACAAAATCTTTTTTAGTTACCATTCTGATCTCAATATATAGTTTCTCATTAACTTCAACATTTTGACCTGGTGATCTACAACAAATCTCAATTACAAAACTTTTCCCTTTATATCCACTAACACTAACCCAAACTGACTCAACCTCGGTGCTAGTTTCTTTAATATGTTCTAACTCAACAGGATGCAGTTCACTCCTATATAAAGATACTCCTCTCCCTCTTTCAATACTGTAATCTGAAGCCTAGTATTTCAAAAAAAATTCTCTCATCCAAATTGTTGAAATTCAACCAAGTCTCAGTGATACCCATATTGTTATAATCTTCAATTTCCACAACTGCTTTGAACTCGACATTTTATCTTATTTGATCTACGAATCATCGTGTTGTAATACAGCATTTGATACAACAAGATGTTTGTATATTACTGGTTGCTTATTCCAACTATTATAGTATTTGTATCGACAGTTAATGGGTTTTTTCACTTGAAATGAGGTATTAAAGTTGTAGTTTATTTTAAAACGTTCTATCTTTAGGGTTATTCTGTTGCATCATAAAGTTATCTTAAATCGTAATATTATTCACACTGGAATATTTAATCTAATTTTTTTTAGTATAAAATAATTCTCAAAAATTAACAAAGGAAGAAATAAGCGATTGAATAGATCATAGAAATCCAGGTATCCAAAGAATTTTGTCGTTGTTTTAACACCAAGCTACGTAATGGGTTATCAGTGCCCTGTCTAACATGGTGAATACAACCCTGGATTTTAGCACTGTAAGTCTCCAAAGGAATTGTTACGTGTGATGATTTGATGGCACGTGACTTGCAACAAATATTATTGTACTTTACATAAAAGAACAAAAATATATGTATAAATTAACACTGTGTTACTCTAAGGTCACTCCTAGATAAACACCAGCATTGGATCACCCTAGATAAACACCAACACCGGATCATTTTATGATAAACACCAACACCTGGTCGCCCTTAGTAAATACCAGTATTAGATCACCCTAACAAACTAACAGTGGGTCACCCTAGGGTCACTCCCAGAAAAACATCAACACCGGGTCACCTTTAAGAAACACCATTATTGGGTCACTTACATTAATAGCTTTTATCATCTAAATCAGTTACTGGGTAACGAACAAAGTTTACCACAAAAATAGGATCCCAAGAGTCATGGATAAAGAAGGGTTAGGAAAAGTTGCAACTATCTGGTGGTTTTCTGTTTTGATGTTTCCATCTCTGGCGTCTTTCTGTATACAAATGTAGGTGAGCTCAAGGCGACATGAAGTTTGGAATCAACTCTTAACATACAGAAGAGAAATATTTTATGTAGTTTTGATAAGTACTTACTTGCCAAAGCAATCAAACAAAGAAGGAGTATTCCAAGATGGATTGTCGACTTCATGTTCCGTCCAGTCAGTGATGAAGATTTAGTTGATAATATTAGAGATAGGTAAAGACAGACTCTCGTGACTTTAGTCTCTCTGTGATGTAATGTTGGAACCGTACGGATCAACCAAGCTTGTCGGATTCTGCATTGACTGGAAAACGACGCATGCGTATTACTCTCTTTTCCCAGCTATCGGTGCTGTCGTTGTTTCATTACAGCTATGCTTCTATGCTTGAGAATAAGTAACAGGCTACGTACTTAGAGTTAAACTAAAAATCAACCAGGTCATCAGTATAACTGATTAGATATAATTTTCTTGCGTTTCTACTTATAAAGATTAAAATGATTTGTTTCATCAGTTAGGTACCCTCGCTGTTAACAATATTTTCGGCCCTAAACCCACTAATATCTCCCAAGATTCGACCAGTTTAGAAAATTTAGTTAGTCCAAAATATATATACTAAGCAAATAACGCAAAACAATATTTATAATAAAATTTGATACATTTAACTTTCCAACTAATTCTACAAAGAAATAACAGAATATATCTTACTTGCGAAACATAAAACCACTAGTATTCAGTCCTCCATAGACATGCTATTTCTTTCAGCCGTGGGGGCGTTATAATATGACGATCAATCTCACTTTTCGTTAGTAAAATAGTAGCCCAAGAATTGGCGGCAGGTGGTGGTGACTAGCTGCCCTCCCTTTAGTCAATCACTTCTACATTAGAGACAGGTAGCCCTCAAGTAGCTTTTTGTGAAATCGAACAAAATAAACAAACCTTAGTGCCAAACAGCTAGCTCGACAGACATCGACATTTGGAGAGTCACTAACATTTCCCGCGCCCCAGTCGACCGGACACGTGGCTGCACTTTTTAGAGACAGACATCAAGTTTTTTGTGTTGATCAATACATTAAATGTTATCTGTTACTACTCTAAACAACGCCCCACGGAATCAAAATGTAGACGTAAAAGTTTTTATCAAGTTGTGATGTTCTGTAAAATTTCTAAATCCATAATCTTTATCAAGGATATTCCACACAACTGAATGAATTTAGCAGTGTTCTCTACTCTGATTATGAAAAATCCGAATGAGTTTTATCCACAAAATCTTGAAGCAACGAAAATTGGCAACAGTCATATAAACTCAGAAGAATTATACAGCAATATGTTTCAAACAAGTGACAAAAGTGGGGATAGTACAGCAACAAACGGGGTTTCTGAAGTCCCCTGGATTTAAAATGATACATAAAACTACTAGTTATATTCATAGTTCCTATTCACAGATACCCTTCAGAAATAATTTATTACCTGCGAGATAAAGTTGGTTTAACCTTCTTATCCCATTATGGCACGCTTCCCTTTAACCTGTTATTACGTCAGTGTTGTCAGTATGAGATAAAAGATGAAATAAAATTAAAAGTTTAGTTTCGTATACTATTTATCTACCATATGTTCGGTCGTCATCTCTTGATATTTAAAAGCACGTAGAACAACCGGGAAAAGTTTGGATCAGAAGTTATACATAATAATCCTAGTGCTTTCGGATCACTTTATTTCCCTAGTATCAATAATCCAATTCGCTTCCCATCATGCAACACTAATAATCCACACAGAACCGGCCCTAGGCAAAATTGTGGCCTGTGCGAACTATGTATTTGGTGCCCCTAACCCTGTAAATTTGACAAAAACTGATATTTGCACACGTTACCCACCCATAATTCACATGTCCAATCATCATTCATCAGTTTCTTGATCCAGCATCAATCTGTTCCAAACATTGTTTTTTTTAAATAAATGATAAGAACGCCGCTAAGTTAATAATGGCAAACATGTTTATAATGATGAAAATGAAAAGCTAATAATAAGAAACATTTCAAGTTAGTGAATATGAATATGTTGTCTATTTTTTTAATCATTAACTAGGTGGAAAAGTCGTGCTTCTCGTACAAAACATGTTTTTGGTTGTGGTATTTTGTATTTGAAGCACCAAGTTTATAAAACGTAAAACCAATCAGGATAACTTATGTTACCCTGGTAGCCGTGCGGGGCGTCCCAATGGCTGCGAGGTTAAACCTATTCTACCAAACACTTCTACTACAAAAGACACTTCCAGCCAATAGGTCTGATCAAACAGGACAAATTGATCGACTTATCTAGTAAGAGACATCAGATCTAACGTCACTTTCAAAACCTGGGTATTGAGGGTAAGCATTAAAACTTAGTGATACTGCTCCCAGGTCCCTACTCAACAGTCTGACAGTACCGGTACTCTTAAGTGTCTATAAACAAATGAAAACATTCATACATAAAACCTTATAACATAAACACTGCTATCTGAGATGGGCTCTAAGGGATGACAGAACCATTCCTCAAATACCTTTCCCTTTGCAGTACATAGTACTGTCTATCCCCCCTAGTCGTCTTTACTTCCCTACACCTAATTTCATTTTTGCACAGTTTAATGAAGTTTAAAAATTTACCTCGCATACACGTTATTCTTTTAATTATTATATATTTGTTACCCTGTGATTGGATAGATTATCTACTTAGTAAATGTCAAGATGATATCCAATTATATGTTAAATATGTTGCTTAGCTTATAAATTAATGATAAAAGTCCGTTGCTCAAAAACTAAAATAAAACAATAATATTAGAATACATATTTTATACATGCTCTTGTTTATTACAATCCGTTTACATTTTTTTCTTAATCTCGACTTTGGAAATCAGTAATGTTGTCTATCTTTTATTGTTAGTAAAACAATTTGTCAAATCACAAAAACGTGGCAGAAAGAAATCTCCAATATATATAGTTTAAGAAGTGGTGCATCTTTTTGAGAATGCACACGTGATTGTTGTTAAAGCGCCACCTGTAGTGGTTATTTTATCTAAAAACGAACGCAGTTCTTTGCGTAAACGGAGTGAGTTCTATAAATAACACGCATAAGATCAATTCTTGCTTCACATCCAACCAATTTATAAGTCTTCCTTATAAAAAGGCCCCCTCACGTACATTGCCAGCCCGCCATCTCGATTGCCGATCGGTTATCATAGGCGAGGCATTTTAATCTTTCATTCAAATGAAAAGTAGGGCGGGGTTGGGGAATTTCTAACTCCTATAGTTTCTCATTGTATGAAATGGTTTATTTTTTACTGAAATACTTCTTCATGAAACAGATTAAGTTGCGAAGATATTCTACACGAGCGTAATATCTCAGAATGTTTTTCTCTTACTGTTGTCACTTAGGCTGCCGCGTGTATCGTATCAATTTACTATGATACAACTGTGTTTGTTCATTGAGTGTCGCTTTACTATTTTGTTAATATAATTAGTTTTGATGGACTTGGTTCGAACTTAACGAACAAGAAATAAACTCTTGAGAGGAGTGAAAATAACTAAATAAAAGAGATTATTTCTTGCAATGAAAAAGTTTTATTCCATAAGCGAACTTAAAATCCAGAATTGCAGTATTTAACAATTGCCCATGAAGGCTTGCAGGATTTAACAATTGCCCATGAAGGCTTGCAGGATTTATGAGTGTTAAATGTTAACTACACTTCATGTCCTTCTCATAAAAAAATCAATCCTTCTTTTTCTGTTCCTTTATAAAAGAAT